ATAGCCCGGGAAAACCTACAACAACCCAGTGATTCTGGCCATGAAAGCCTTCGACAATGGACTGATTTATAGTTTCCTGGTCCTCATAAAAGCCCGGGACACCATAGTAAAAAAAAATGCCCACAAACAGATTAAAGTTCTTTCAACAATCCTAGGAGACAAAAGAAATACACATGTTTTTCTCTACTTTTGTAGCCAAGGAACTTCTGTAATGCTAGCTCCATGAGGTCACGAAGAGTCAGAAGCGACTGAACAAATAAAGAACAACAACTCAACACTAGGCTTCTGCCATCTGGGTAAACCTTGACTTGTTTCGTGTCTCGGCTTTCGGTGGGGGCAGTGATCCATTTTTTGGGAGCCTCCCAAAATTGGGAGAGCAGATATCTGTCTTCACTCTAGGCTGCTGAAAGATCTGTTTTCTATCGATCCATTATGAGGAGGGGGCTTGCCAGGCTCCCCTTCCCATCATAGGTATTTAAGGGCCGGAGGTTTAGCACGGCGGGTAAATCATCAGCAATGTGGCTCCTAATGAGGCATGCCGCATTATCACGGGGTGTCTGCGCCCGACACCACTGGAGAAATTACACTGCTTAGCCGGTATTGCACCACCTGACATCCGCCGGGAAGTGGCAGCCAATAATGAAAGGACCAAGGCAGAGACATCTCCAGCTCATCCCTTGTTTGGTTATCAGCCAGCATGTCAACAACTTAAATCTAGAAGTAGTTTTCTAAGATCTACAGAAACACTCACTGGAACACCTCAGCAAGCGAGAGTCCAAAAGTGGCAGGCTCAAACCCAGAACCTCAACCAATGGCTGAGACCAAATGAGAGACTCCCCCCTGGACACACAGAAGACTGGGCGACTTGGAAGGCGCTGAACAGACTGCATTCTGGCACCACGAGATGCAGAGCCAACCTTGAGAAATGGGGCTACAAAGTGGAATCCACAACATGCGAGTGTGGAGAAGAGCAAACCACTGACCACCTGCTGCAATGCAACATAAGCTCTGCCACATGCACAATGGAGGACCTTCTTCTTGAAGCAACACCAGAGGCACTCCAAGTGGCCAGATAGTGGTCAAAGGACATTTAATCAACTACCAAACTCGCAAATTTTGTATTTTGTCTGTTTGTTTGTTTTGTTCTGTTAGAAATGTAATACAATTGACTGGTTGCCCTGACATGACAAATAAATAAAAATCAGCAATTATAAGATCTCTCAACCAAAAAGTTGCAAGTTTGAAGCCCTGGGTTGGCGTGAGCTGCCAACTGTCAGCCTAGCTCATTGTTTACCTAAGCAATTCGAAAACAGCTTTAGCTGTGATTAGCGAAATTAGGTACCGCTAAAAGCAGGGGAGGAGTTTTACGATGTCATAAAGAAAGAAGATCAGGAAATGCTAGGCGACCAAAAGGAAGAAGTCCTGACGGCTCTTCGTCATAGAGGATAGAGCAACAGTACCCCCTGGACTCGAGCCCAACCTTCCATGGGACCAAAAACAGTTGAAACAAACCACCTCCTTCTGTTCTGTCTGTCTGTGTATTGTCTATACGAAGCAGCATTGAATGTTTGCCATGTATATGTACTGTGATCCTCCTTGAGTCCCCTTCGGGGTGACAAGGGCAGAATATAAATAAAATGTTGTTGTTGTTGTTGTTGTTGTTGTTATTAAGCTGTTTCTACTCTAGAGGAGAGGCGCTTAGCTGTAGACAGGCATACACTTTAAGGAGGCTTCTTACCTGTTTTTTCTACTCTAGAGGAGAGGTGCTTGGCTGCAAATATTTATTATTTATTATTTACTAGCCATCCCCTGCCTCACGTTGCTGTGGTCCACATGGGGGTTCTGTGTGTGAGGTTTGGCCCAATTCCATCGTTAGTGGGGTTCAGAATGCTCTGTGATTGTAGGTCAGTGGTTAACCTGGGGTCCCCAGATGTTTTTGGCCTTCAACTCCCAGATATCCTGACAGCTGGTAACCTGGCTGGGATTTCTGGGAGTTGTAGGCCAAAAACATCTGGGGACCCCAGGTTGAGAACCACTGTTGTAGGTGAATTATAAATCCCAGCAACTACAACCCCCAAGTGTCAAGATTCTATTCTCCCCAAACTCCACCAGTGTTCACATTTGGGCATATTGAGTATTCGTGTAGAGTTTGGTCCAGATCTATCATTGTTTGAGTCCACAGTGTGCCCTGAATGTAGGTGAACTACAACTCCAAAACCAAAGGACACTGCCCACCAAATCCTTCCAGTATTTTCTGATGGCCATGGGAGAACTGTGTGCCAAGTTTGGTTCAATTCCATCGTTAGTGGGGTTCAGAATGCTCTGTGATTGTAGGTGAATTATAAATCCCAGCAACTACAACCCCCAAATGTCAAGATTCTATTTTCCCCAAACTCCACCAGTGTTCACGTTTGGGCATATTGAGTATTTGTATAGAGTTTGGTCCAGATCCATCATTGTTTGAGTCCACAGTGCTCTCTGGATGTAGGTGAACTACAACTCCAAAACCAAAGGACACTGCCCACCAAATCCTTCCAGTATTTTCTGTTGGTCATGGGAGAACTGTGTGCCAAGTTTGGTTCAATTCCATCGTTAGTGGGGTTCAGAATGCTCTTTGGTTGTAGGTGAACTATAAATCCCAGCAACTACAATTCCCAAATGACAAAATCAATTTTTTGAGTGGGTTGTTAGGTGTCTTGTGTCCAAATTTGGTTTCAATTTGTCCAGTAGTTTTTGAGTTCTGTTAACCCCACAAACGAACATTACATTTTTATTTATATAAATAGAGGGATCACTGTGACAGGAAAACACATCCCAAGTTCGGACTAAAACCCAAAGTGGATTTGTCTCCCCTCCAGAAGTAAGAGGAGCCAGTCCCCGATGCTCTCGCTGTTTCTCTTCTCCATTTCATGTGATAATTCCTGCGTTCAGAGTACGCCTACCTATTCCTGAGCCATCCTTACACCAAACCTGTCAAGTTTAGTTAGCCGAGTTCTTCTTCTCCCACCCACCACCCACCCAATACTTCCTTTGAAAAAGGAAGGTTTTATAACCTGTATCATTTTTGCACTGAATTATTTCAACAGCCATTTATCCCATAATGGTCTTTTATAAGTGTAAACAACATACGGTAAACAAGAAAACTTTCCAAGTGTGGTTTTAAACCATTCTAACAATTGCTTTAATGTGTTGTTAAATCACGCAGGTTTGGAATGATAGTCCAGGTCAGTCCATTGTCATCCACACAAATTGGGTCTCGTTCTAAATGGCTGGCTCTACCGTTCCAACGCTTGGCCCCATAACTAGGTTTTGAGTTTAATTCTAAAGGGCAAGAGGGACTGGGGCCAATCTAATGTCACTGGGCAGTGAGTTCCACAGATGAGGTACCCCTCTATTCTTCTTTGGATAGACCACACCTGGAATGTTGTGTCCAATTCTGGGCACCACAACTCAAGAGTTATATTGACAAGCTGGAATGTGTCCAGAGGAGAGCGACTAAAATGATCAAGGGTCTGGAGAACAAGCCCTATGAGGAGCGGCTTAAGGAGCTGGGCATGTTTAGCCTGAAGAAGAGAAGGCTGAGAGGAGATATGATAAGTAAAGGTAAAGGTAGTCCTAATGTCACTGGGCAGAGAGTTCCACAGATGAGGTACCCCTCTATTCTGCTTTGGATAGACCACACCTGGAATATTGTGTCCAATTCTGGGCACCACAATTCAAGCCAGGTTTTGAGTTTCATTCTAAAGGACAAGAGGGATGGGGGGCCAATCTAATGTCACTGGGCAGAGAGTTCCACAGATGAGGTACTCCTCTATTCTGCTCTGGTGAGACCACACCTGGAATATTGTGTCCAATTCTGGGCACCACAATTCAAGAGTTATATTGACAAGCTGGAATGTGTCCAGAGGAGGGTGACTAAAATGATCAAGGGTCTGGAGAACAAGCCCTATGAGGAGCGGCTTAAGGAGCTGGGCATGTTTAGCCTGAAGAAGAGAAGGATGAGAGGAGATATGATAGCCATGTATAAATATGTGAGAGGAAGCCACAGGGAGGAGGGAGCAAGCTTCCTTTCTGCTTCCCTGGAGACTAGGACGCGAAACAATGGCTTCAAACTACAAGAAAGGAGATTCCATCTGAACATGAGGAAGAACTTTCTGACTGTGAGAGCTGTTCAGCAGTGGAACTCTCTGCCCTGGAGTGTAGTGGAGGCTCCTTCTTTGGAAGCTTTTAAACAGAGGGTGGATGGCCATCTGTCAGGGGTGATTTGAATGCAATATTCCTGCTTCTTGGCAGGAGGTTGGACTGGATGGCCCATGAGGTCTCTTGATCATTTTAGTCACGGGTCTGGAGAACAAGCCCTATGAGGAGCGGCTTAAGGAGCTGGGCATGTTTAGCCTGAACAGGTGGGAAGGATTGATAGAGCTGAATACAAATGACATCTCACTCCAAAACTCTGGATAATGTACAGCCATGCTCCAGAAGCATTCCAAAAGCTGGGTTGTTGTAGGTTTTTTGGGCTGTGTGGCCATGTTCTAGAAGCATTCTCTCCTGATGTTTCGCCTGCATCTATGACAGGCATCCTCAGAAGTTGTGAGGTCTCAGAGGTTGTGAGATGCAGGTGAAACATCAGGAGAGAATGCTTCAAGAACATGGCCTTACAGCCTGAAACACCTACAACAACCCAGTGATTCCAGCCATGAATGCCTTCAACAATACATTCCAGAAGCAATTGTTTTTTCCAGACACTACTATGACTCATGAAACTAAAGATCCTATCACTAGAAAGTAACTTTCCAAGCACTGTCTAACACAGGAAGGTAGCAAAGTTGATTCAATACAGGGTAGTTGCAAAGAATTATATGCACAATGATGGGTTTGAGGAAGACAAAGTTCTGCCCCTTTCATGTATCTCACCATCTGCAATTTCCTCGCAGTCAATTAATGTTAATAAAAACTTCCAAAATGATGTGATACAAACAATTAATTCAAGGAATACGTACAGCAATAGAAGTCCCAGCAAGACAACCAGAAGTGACCACGTCTCAATGGAGAAGCTTGGGAGAAGCTCCATCTTGGTTTCACCGGTTGAGAGCTCTTCCTCTTCTTTTAATCCGAGCGGTGATCCTGCTGGGTTTATATCCTCTTCTCACTTGGAGCAAAGGGCAGAAATTTCACAATGACTTATGTAATCTCTTGTCCTGGACTGGAAGGCTGGATTTCACCCAGTTGCTTGTTTTGATTTGTTCAATAAGGGAGAGGTGGAGTTACACTTCTGTCCTGGAAACCTGAGTCAGCTGAGAAGTTGCATCACTTTGTATGACTTAGACTTGTGCATTTGATGCGGAAATACCCTTGATTCGGATCTAGTTTGGATATTTAGCATTTTTGAAATGTATTGTCAAGGGCTTTCATGGCCGGAATCACTGGGTTGCTGTAGGTTTTCCGGGCTATATGGCCATGTTCTAGAACAGGGGTTCTCAACCTTCCTAACGCTGCGACCCCTTAATACAGTGCTTCATGTTGTGGTGACCCCCAACCATAAAATTATTTTCGTTGCTACTTCATAACTGTAATGTTACTACTGTTATGATGTACTTTCATTCACTGGACCAAATTTGGCACAAATACCCAATATGCCTGAATTTGAATACTGGTGGGGTTGGGCGGGATTAATTTGGTCATTTGGGAGTTGTAGTTGCAGGGATTTATAGTTCATCTACAATCAAAGAGCATTCTTAACTCCACCAACAATGGGATTGAACCAGACTTGGTACACAGAACTCCCCATGACCAACAGAAAATACTGGAAGGGTTTGGTGGGCATTGACCTTGAGTTATAGTTCACCTACATCTAGAGCACTGTGGACTTCAACAGTGATAGCTCTGGACCAAACCTGGCACAAATACTCAATATGCCCAAAAACACTGGTGCAATTTTGGGAAAATAGACCTTGACATTTGGGAGCTGTAGTTGCTGGGATTTATAGTTTACCTACAATCAAAGAGCATTCTGAATCCCACCAGTGACAGAATTGGATCAAACTTCCCACACAGAACCCCCATGACCAGCAGAAAATACTGTGTTTTCTAATGGTCTTTGGTGACCCTTCTGGCAACCCCTTGTGACCCCCCCAGGGGTCCCGACCCCCAGGTTGAGAAACACTGTTCTAGAAGCATTCTCTCCTGACGTTTCACCTGCATCTATGAAAAGCATCCTTAAAGGTTGTGAAGTCTGTTGGAAACTAGGAAAATTGGGTGTATGTATCTGTGGAAAGTCCAGGGTAGGAGAAATAACTCCTGTCTGTTGGAGCCAGGTGTGAATGTTTCAACTGGCCACCTTGATTAGCATTTGATGCCCTGACAGTTTTTAGGTGTGGCTTGTTACGGCCTGGGGAATCCTTTGTTGAGAGGTTTTTATTTACTTTTTTATAGATATATATTCTGCCCTTCTCACCCCAAAGGGGACTCATACACATATACATGGCCAGGGCCGTAGCCAGAAAAAAATTTCGGGAGGGGTTGAAATTTTCGGGGGGGGGGTGTTGAAATTTTCAGGGGGGGGGGTTGAAACCTGCCTCCTAGCTCACGCTGAAGCAAAGAGCACATCTTCAAGGGGCAGAGCAGCCTTCAATAGCCTGCAGCTCCACCCCTGTCAACCACCTCCACCAAGTCTGGCCTCCTTAATGAGAGCATTCAACACCCCTCCCTACTTGGTTGCTTCACTATATCGGCTATTGCTGCAAGTAATGACAGTGTGAATAAATTTAAAGTGCTAGTTCTAGCCTTTAAAGACCTAAACGGTTCTGCCCCAACTTCCCTGTACGAACGTATCTTCCCTTATGAACCATCTAGGACCTTGAGATCGTCCGGAGAGGCTCTGCTCTCGGCCCCACCTTCATCACAGGTATGTTTGGCGGGGACTAGAGACAGGGCCTTTTCAGTGGTGGCTCCCCGGCTATGGAACGCCCTCCCCAGAGAGATTAGATCTGCTCCCTCCCTCTTAATGTTTCGGAAGCAACTCAAAACATGGCTGTTTGAGCAAGCGTTCACAAACACAGAGTAACGGATACAGATAACTGATATAGGAACGGATAACTGACGATGGAATTGGACAATGCTTGACAATAAGGAGACGCCAATGATGTTGTTTTTATTGCTGTTGTGATTTATGTAATTTTAATGTTTTTAAATTGTATTATGATACTATGTATACTGTTTTGTTGGAAACCGCCTTGAGTCGCCGATAGGCTGAGAAAGGTGGTATACAAATACAGTAAATAATAATAATAATAATAATAATAATAATAATAATAATAATAATAATAATGTTCAATATTTGCTTGAGATAGTGCTTACAGTTCTGGAGGGACTATTAATTTTTTGCATCTCATAGACTTAGCATGGGGATTTGGTTAACCAGTTAAAATTCATGAGTAAACCAGGTTTTTTTTTACCTGAAAAATTTGGGGGGGGGTTGAACCCCTAAAACCCCCCCCCCCCTCGCTACAGGCCTGTACATGGCAAACATTCAATGCCGTTTTTGACATACAAGACATACAGACAGACAGAGGCCATTAAGCAGTTCTTCCATCGGATCCTTGAGGTTGCTCGATTCGTCCACTATGTTATTGTGTGTTTATTATGTTGCATTATTTTGGGCTTGGCCTCATGTTAGCTGCCCCGAGTCCCCTTTAGGAGATGGTGGCTGGTTATAAATAAAGATTATTATTATTATTATTATTATTATTATTATTATGACACCGAGCCTTTTTGATTGTAGCATTTCCTCCTTGCTTCTCCGGTATTTTAATCTATATATATATAAATGCTCTGTGCATAATGAGTACCTTAAAAACAAAAGAACCAATGAACGAAATCACACCAAATTTAGCAACAAAACGTCTCACAACACAAGGAGTGACCATCACTGAAAAAAAATTATGATTTTGTCATTTGGGAGTTGTGGTAGCTGGGATTTATAGTTCACCAAAGAGCATTCTGAACTCCACTAACAATGGAATTGAACCAAACTTGGCACACAGAACTCCCATGACCAACAGAAAATACTGGAAGGGTTTGGTGGGCATTGACCTTGAGTTTGGGAGTTGTAGTTCACCTACATCCAGAGAGCACTGTGAACTCAAATAATGATGGTTCTGGACCAAACTTGGCACAAGCACTCAATACGCCCAAATATGAACACAGGTGGAGTTTGGGGGAAATAGACCATGACATTTGGGAGTTGTAGTCCCTGGGATTCACATTTCACCTACAATCAAAGAGTATTCTAAACCCCACAAACGACAGAATCGGGGCAAATTTCCTACACAGAACCCCCATGACCAACAGAAAATACTTAAGGCCATCCAGTCCAACTCCCTTCACCAGGGCAAGAAAATGTAATCAAAGCCCTCCTGACAAAGAGCCATCCAGACACACACATACACACATGCACATATATACATATATGATTCACCCACACACCGATATAGTATCATAGATTTGAAAGGGACCCTTAAAGAAGGACAAGGATATCTTGCATGTTCCAGGGTGGGCAAACCAGACACTCTCCACATCAACACTGACAAAGAAACAGAAAGAAATACTCTTTATCCACAAGCATAAAGAAATTACATATATTAGAACCCAACACTTTCTCATTACTTTATTTTCCAGATCAACAGACTAACCACAGCAACGCGTGGCAGGGGACAGCTAGTAGTGTCATAAATTAGCCTCCCCGCTTTAAACAATTCCTAATTTTTCTACTCACAGCTCACAGCTGTTTTCAAACTGCTTAGGTCAACAGTGAGCTGAGCATTTTTTTTAACAGCTATTGTTTTTAACAGCTATTAACAGTCGAGCGCTCAACCCCAACTCGGGTGTCGAACTTGCCACTTTTCAGTCAGCAGTGATTTATTGTAGCTGATTAATCAGTTGTGCTACCAGCCCGGTGATCAGCTGTCCCTGATTGTATCCTCTCTGGAGTTCCCCTGTGTTTGAGTGTTGTTTTACTGTTATAATTTTAGAGTTTTTTAATCCTATAGCCAGATTTTGCTCATTTTCATGGTTTCCTCCTTTCTGTTGAAATAGTCCACATGCTTGTGGATTCCAATGGCTTCTCTGTGTAGCCTGACATGGTGGTGGTCAGAGTGGTCCAGCATTTCTGTGTTCTCAAAACCAAGATTACAACAACATCTGTTATAGAACTCCAGTATGCTGATGACAACGTCTTCTGTGCACATTCAGAAGAAGACCTACAAGCCACTCTAAACACCTTCGCAGAAGCATACGAGAAGCTCGGCCTGTCATTAAACAAACCCAGCCGGGACCGCCTTCCACCTGGAAACCGATGCCCTCACTTGCTGGAGAAGATGCAGGTCAAGAATAGGGCTCCACAGTCACTTACGGACCCACCGCCAGGACACCGATCTTGGATGACAATCTTACTCGGACAATGAGGGATCGCCTAAGAACGTAATTACTTGTGGAAGAAGAGCAAAGGGAAGGATGACTTAGTGGAAGGGATTACCACACTCTGGGAATACCCATGGAGACGGCTCTCTTAGATGTCTTCACCGAATGTGCCTGCGAAGGTGCTGGGACTGAATCAAGTAAGTTATACACTTCTACTCATTTTATAGAAAGAAGTTGTAGAGTTTACAACTTTGTCCGGAGGTGCCAGGAATTCAAGCCATGACACTTGCCCACAGGAAGCTTCCTTATCTTGAGCCTCACGTCGATACCAGGCAAGATTCTGGAAAAGATTGTTAAGGAAGTGGTCTGCAAACACTTAGAAACAAATGCGGTCATCGCTAATAGTCAACATGGATTTATCAAAAACAAGTCATGCCAGACTCATCTGATCTCTTTTTCGATAGAGTTACAAGCTGGGTAGATGCGGGGAATGACCGTGGATGGAGCGTACCTGGATTTCAGGAAGGCCTTCTTTGACAAGGTCCCCCATGACCTTCTGGCAAGGAAACTAGTCCAATGTGGGCGAGGCACAACTACGGTGAGGTGGATCTGTAATTGGTTAAGTGGACGAACCCAGAGGGTGCTCACTAATGCTTCCTCTTCATCTTGGAAAGAAGTGATGAGTGGAGTGCCGCAGGGTTCCGTCCTGGG